AAGAAGGTGAACCTGACGAAAATCATGTAGCTATCCTCCTGGAGATTGGAAATAGACAAGAGTGCCAGGTAACCTCGGGTGCATGGGGGGGGGTGGGGGGGCTGTTGGAAGGGGAGAAGGTTAGAGAGAAGGGAGTAGGGGAGGAATGGGGAAAGATTGGGGGACTGGGATGGGGGAAGGAGAATGGATAGATATGGGATCAGGGAAGTATATACTTCAACTAAGGGAGTCATTTTAGGGTTTACAAGAGACTTGAGTATAAAGGGGATCCCAGGTCCAAGGAGAGATCCCCAGATTATTCTCTGGACAGAGGAGATGGTGCCTGAACCGGCCTTGGCCCACAACCATATTGATGATCATTTTGCATGTCACCATAGAACCCTCATCTGGCGATGGAGGGAGATGGATGCGGAGACCCACGTCGAAACACTGGACCTAGCTCCCTAGGTCCAAAGGAGAGGCAGAAGGAAGGAGAACGTGAACAAAGAAGGCAAGAACAGAGGAAACCTTCATCCGACGTTGGATGGCGATACAGACGGAGACCCATATTGGAGCACCGGACGGAGCCCTCCACGGTCCAAATGAGGAGCAGAAGGATGAAGAAAATGAAAAAAGAAATAAGGACTGCGATGGGCGCCATCACCCACTGATACAAGGGGACTGATCTAATGAGAGTTCACCAAGGCCAGCTGGACTGGAACTGAACGAGCACGTGATCTAACCAGATTCTCTGAATGTGGCCGGATTCTCTGGATGTGGCTGGCCCGGAGTCTTTCTGAAAAGCCATTGACAATGACACTGGGACTTGTTTCCTCTGCATATACTGGATTTTTGGGATCCAGTCTGTTTGGATACTCACCTTCCTGGACCTGGAGGGACGGGGGCGAAACTTGAACTTCCCACAGGGTAGGAAACCCTGACTACTCTTAGGGATCGAGAGGGAGGAGGAGAGGGAGTAGGGGAAGTGGGAGGGTTTTGGGAGGAGGGGCGGAAATGGAAACTTTTATAATTTAATAAACTTTAAAAAAAATAAAATTAAATTAAAAAAGAATAAATATATCATATTAAAATAGCTTGACTCATAAGTACATATTTCATTCATTTTTCTCTGTATGTATATTATAAAAATAATACAAAATATACAATTTGCAAAGTCAAAATACTTTTTCTTTGGCATCATATCTTGAACAAAATAGAAACTATCAGTACTGACTATTTTCTCGCATTTTCAGGAACACAAGTTAAAACGAAGTGAAGAAACACCTTGTCTCTTTTCTACATTGGGGAATACCATTCCCCAATTCTTTGGTGTTAACGAGAAAGCTTCAAGCCAGCAATGAATGGAAGTTCAAATGCTGTTCTTTAGACTCCCAGAGTCATTAGCTTGAACACGTGCATTTCTCTCTCCAGCACAGGGCCAGAATTCTAATTCCATCGCTGAAATGGAACTTTCTTCCTCCAGATGACAGAGAAGATCCGTTTCAGGGAAGCACAAAAGCTACTTTCTGCGCCTACGGCTGTCTGATGGCAGTGAGGATGAATACAGCATTGCAAATGCGGTATACATTATACATATTAGATGGGAAATGGTCATGGTACCATTATTCAAATTGTCCTTCATTATTTTCAGTTCAGTAATTTTTTATAGGCCATGCTTGAAATAGCATTATGCAATCTACAATAGATACTAATTGAAGCTATGTCAGCAGTTAGCTTTCTATGTACTAGTTTAACTCCCAAAAGGTTTGGTTTTCATCTTCCATAGTCCTTTGGTATCAGGACTTTTCTATGAGCCTTTAATTGTCCATGTGTGTGGCTGAGGGATTTTATTCTTCCTTGAAGAAATTAGAAGGCAAACCTAACGAGAAGATTGTATTTACTGGGCATTTATTTGTTTGTTATTACCAGTATCTTGCATCGTTACCTGAATCTGAAGATGAGCCGAAGTGAAGGTGATATTTTTGATTAGTTCCATTTACCTGCTATTGGCAGGCACTTTCAACTCTCCATTGTGACAGGCTTTCTTTTAAGCCATCAACCAGTTCCCAGATCATGACACAGAGACTTCTCACTAGTTATGAATGTCCGGCCTCATCTTGTGTTTGCCCACTATCTATGACATCTTAACCGTTTCTCTTCATCTACATTTTGCCCCAGTGCTTTTAACCTTTCTTTCCTTCTGTATATCTAACTTTCACTGCTTTTGCTGTCTGGCTGACTAGTGGCTGCCTAACTTCTGGAATTTGGTGAATCCCTCTGGTTCTCCCTCATTCTTTCCACCTTCTTTTCTCTGGAGCCTAGATTTCTTCTTCTACTTAGTCTCTTTGGTTGCCAGCCCCACCCCTGCCTTGCTATTGGCCATTCAGCTTTTTATCAGACCAACCATGCATCTTAGGTAGGCAAGATGAAACAAGTGCAACACATCTTTAACAATTAAACAAATGCAGTATAAACAATGTAACACGCCTCCACACAGTTAAAATAACATTCCACAGCCCTCTGTGCCCTTGATGTTACTGGTAAATTCACCATGGGACTGATATGGGATTCTCCTCTGTATGCTGTGAATATCATTGGTTAATAAAGAAGCTACTTTAGGCCTATAGTAGAGTTTAGGGGAACAGAACAAGGTGGGGAAAACTAAACTGAATGCTGAGAGAAAGGAGGCAGAGTCAGGGAGAAGCCATATAGCCCCGCCAGAGACATTCATGGCAAAAGCAAAATTTTACCTGGTAAACCACTACCACGTGGTGATACCTAGATTAATGGCAATGGGTTAAATTAACATGTAAGCATTAGTCAATAAGAAGCTAGAGCTAATGGGCCAAACAATTATTTAATTAATATAGTTTCTGTGTGATTATTTCAAGGCTGAGCAGGGAACCAACAAGCATCCCCATTGCAACATGGGACCAGGGAAGATTACTAAAATAGCATTTCCCAGATTGGTAGGCTTATTTTTCCAAACTGCGGTCATAGAAGGTGCTAGAATTGCAAGAATCACTGCTTAACCAATGGAGAGACCCTAGGCAGAGACAACCTGAATAGAGCAGGACTGGATAGCAGATTCTGACATAAAGGCTACAATGAACCTGAATAAACAAGTACATTTAAGTAAACTTTCCCAATGTCTTACTAGTTTCCACTCCTCCCTACACTGCACTCAGCCAATAGTTCTTCTTATTACCCCAACAATGTATTTTAGGGAAAGGGGTCCACTGAATATCATGTCTAAAAAAACAAGCAAAGAGCAACAACAACAAAGCAATCTCTTATTCCTTCCTTAGAGGATACAAACTTACAGTCATGTAGATTGAATAATTCTAGAAACTTGGTCTTCTGAAGGAGAACTGTACTTAACAATATCATGTTGAATGCTGGTAATTGGCTAAGCATAGATTTCAGATACTTTTATAACAGGTGACAACAATAAGAAAAAATCAACTGTGCATGTTAGTTCACTAGATGGTCATAATCATTTTACTGTGTTTTTTACATCAAAATATTATGCTGATCCTGGGGAAACATCTCAGTTGTTAAAGTTCTTAAAGCCTCACAAGCATGGGGGCCTGAGTTTTTTGTCATGGTTTTCATGACAAACTCCATGCCAAAATCCATGCCCTAAAAAGAATCTGGACATAGTGGTCCAAGCATATAACACCTGCAATACAAAAGCTAGCACAAACAAGAGGATCTTTTTCTGGCTCTGTGGCCAGCCATTCTACCCTAATTGATGAGATGTAGGACATTTAGTGACTGTATCTCAAAAGGAGGTGAGCATCATTTCTGAGGATGACAACCAAGGCTGTTTTCTGATCGCCACACAAGAGAGCACATGAGCACACACACCTGCCTGAACATTTGCACCTGCACAGAGGCAAGCAAAACCACACTTTTTTAAAAGGCAATTATATTGTGTAGCCCACACTAAAACAAAAGGACAGGGCATGTCTGTTATCCCATGGGTAATGCTCCTGAATAGCCCAATGTGTCTTCAGTTTGGGAGGAAGACTATGTTCTTTTGTGGTCCTTGTGTTTCACCAGAGGCATCCCGTTAGTCCCCTGAGTGTGCATGGTTATCACTCTTAAGAAACAAGTAACTTTATTTCTGACTGAAGGTTGGTAGATGTCTGGCTTTCACACAATAGTTACTTAGTTGTAACTAGGCACTCCTCCGCTTCATACAGGGTGGGAGTGCGAATCGGTTATTAACCTACTGGGAAACATCACACTAAAAGTTTAAATCTCCTCACAATATGTGATATGGTCCAGCACACTGGGATAGATGTTTATTGGCTTGGCCTCTGTACATCCAAATAGCTACTTTGGACCCCATATCTGTTGGGATTTGAGGAACAGGGGAGACATATCAATCATCCTGGAAGCTGAAGTTAAGGTTACAGTAAATTGAATATGGTAAATGAAAATAGTATTTTGAAATACTTTCAAACTGTCTGACTATAAACCTTAGAAAGATAGGGTGGGCAACAGAGAGGGCATGGCATCTAAATAGTGTTTATAGTTTCTTTGATGGAAAGACATTGGTATATATCATCCACAGAGATCCAATAATACAGCTTTATCTCCCTACCATGTAAAGGCAGCCTGGAGATTAAGACATGAAGAAGATTCTAGAAGTGAAGATAAATAAATTAAAAATAAATAACCAAGACATCTCATACTAGTGATCTATTCATATGGCAGTGTATATATATATGGGCCACACATAAAATTAAATTTTAATTTTTGCTTCTTTTAAAATAAGAAAACATGAAGGACTTTGACAAAGTATACAGTACTTTGAAAACACTCCGATTTAAGCATAAAATCAAATGCACTATGCTGTGCTTCTGTGCTAGAACAATTATTTAAAGAAAACCCGGCCAGCACTAAAACCCATTTAAATAATTTAGTGGTAATGCACAAGCATTCCTAAAGGAATCACTCTCCTCCCTGAAAATCTACCACCTGAAAAGCAAGAAGAGAGGGCCAAGGGAGGGTTAAAATTACATATTCTTTTAATTTAAGACAACTTTATCTGCAATAATTTCATTTAGGTATATTATGTCTTAATTTTAAGTAAATTGGGTAAATGTTAAAATAGAAAGAGACAGTTAAAATATACATCAACTGGTTAACATCTCATCCATATTATTTTCTTTAGGGCAAAGTAACGAGTGTAAAAGGCAGTACAGTCATCTCACGACGTCACTATTTTGTCAAAGTCGGAGTGACAGAAGAGAACGAAGAAAGGATTGTGTATATAGCATGACACGTGGCTTGGCGGATAAAGGTCTATTAGCTTTACAGAAATAGCTGTGTAGGTAGATGCAGGAGAACTGAACTATGTCCACATAAAAAGCAGCGGTGAGCGGTGCCTCTCCAAACGTCAGGGCCTGCAGAACCCTGATCAGCAAGCCAGGGAATCTGCGGGGGAGTGCAGAGATCAATGTCATTATCCAGAAGGCATTACTGAAATAGATTTTAAATCCTTTGATGTAATTGCTTGCTGAGTTTGCCATTACCGCCGCTCCATCCGTCTGACTGATTGAAGGCCTTTAATAGCTCAAGTTTTACTGAGACTGCCAGCATACTCATGTCGGAACCCTAAAACGAGACAGATGTTTGATGTTTAATTTAACTAATATGGTGTATCATGAGTCAACAAAACACATTCTGTGTTAATGCCCAAAAAACAGGTGAGGGACAGCAAAACATGCAGCGCTAATCTCACTGTCTCAGCAGACAAGCCTTTGCTCTTAGGAATATTAACACGCGCTCTGATTTGAAAACCCTGAGGCATTTTTTTCCTGCCCTTGAGGAAAGCAGTCTTATTCCGCTGGAGCATTCAAGACAGAACGCAATGAATAAATTAGCAGTGCATAAAATCCTCAAGTGAAGTATAAGAAACATTGGACAGATGAGTGTGTGTGTGTGTGTGTGTGAGAGAGAGAGAGAGAGAGAGAGAGAGAGAGAGAGACTGAGACAGAGACAGACAGAGACAGAGAGAGAGAGAGAGAGAGAGAGAGAGAGAGAGAGAGAGAGAGAAAGGCACTATATGCTCCACTGTTTTTTGACAAATTCTTTGACTTTGGGATTCTCTCTCATTTTCTTTCTATAGGCGCCTCAGGAAAAAAAAAAAAAAACAGTATCTTGCAACATACTTTCAAATTCCCTATCTTTCTGAGGACCGATTTAGTCAAAACTGTACTTACGTTATAATTGCAATTATAAATTATAAATCACAATTATAAATATATCTAGAAAAAGCTATTTCCTTCTCCTAAAGAAAATAGTAGTTGTACAATTTTTGTTCTTTCATTTTGAGATTAGCTAAAATTACAGTATATCTCCCTTTCCTTTTCTCCTTCCAAACCCTCCAAGTCTGCATTGCTCTTTTTAACCTACAACCCCTGCTTTTAGTGTTATTACATAAATATATATGAATATATACATATACATATATATATATGCCTAATCTGTATAATAATTCATGTATGTATGTTTTCATGGTTGACCATTTCATTTTTTAATATTGTATCTCACATTATTGTCCAAATTCTATAATTTCCTGTATTTCTGTTCTTTTTAAAGATTTTTTTAAATGTATTCTTCTCTCATACAATACATCCTGACTACAGCCTTGCTCCCTCCAGTACTCTCGATGCCTCTTCACCTTCCTCTCCTCCTCTGACTCAGAAAAAAGTAGGTCTCCCAGGATATCAACTGATTATGACATAAAAAGTTACAATAGGTCCAGGCACAAACCCTCCTATCAAAGCTGGAGGACCAACCCAGTCAGAGGAAAAGGGTCCCAAGAACAGCAAAAGAGTCAGATACACCCACACAGCTACTGTTAAGAGATCCACAAGAATACCAAGCTACACAATCACAACTCACATGCATTGAGGACTTAGCACAGACCCGTGCAGGCTTTGTGATTGCCTCCTCCTTCTTTGTAAGTCCCTATGCACCATGCTTAGTAGAGTCTGTGAGTCCTTTTCTCCTGATATCCTTGACCTCTGGTTCTGACAATCCTTCCTATCCTTCTTCCTCCATAGCTCAGCAGGCAGAGTATCGGTCTTCTTAATTTTATGGGGAAAAGGTAAGGGATTTCTCTTGTTGCTTTGTCTGATTCTGAGAAAACAGTAAAGTGTTTCTTCCTTTGCGTTGTCAGTTTGCTTGCGTATCATTGAGTCCTTCCCGAGCTGCCATCAAACCTGGGGCCTTGTTCATAGAGGCAAACATTCTAAAACAGAGCTACAACTCTAGCTTTGAAATAATTCTTAGTGTGATTCTTTTACTTGCAGAAGATTACATAACGTCCGTGATCTTTCTGTCCTAAGATTTAGAGCTAAGACCCGTAACTGTGAGAGTGCAGTGGGGAAGAAACAGACATCACAGCATGCGAAGAGGATTCAAATTCGTACCAATGGCATCAGCCAACATCAGGTGAAGGCTTGTATTCCAAGTCCTCCAAGTTCACCCTGACCAATACTAGATTTTCATCTTCATAACAACGTCCAATAAATGGGGAGGAGCTGTTGTTACCTTGTTGAATAAATACCTAAATAAGGATAAGGGATGTAATTTTACCCATATTTAATTGTTGACTAGTTAAATCTAGATCATTAGGGGTAAGCTAGTCAGTTCCCAACTTTCAAAGGTTAAACTGTCCCAACCGGCCAAAGACTTGGATTCATGGGCTTTGGGGGATGCAACTTTTGTCAGCTTCAATATGCTAAAGGCTTAGATATTATTTGCAGGAGATCGTCAGGGATTAATTTATCTTTGAATGATCAAAGTTTAGATGGCCTAAGTCAACATGTTGATTCATCAGTAACTGGAACTGATCTCCCTGACACATTTCTATGTTTTCAGCATATTCATTTCAATGAATGGGTCATAAGGTAGCAGTGACCAGCATTCTCCTGCTGTATCTGAAAGATGTGCCTGGAATTTTAATACCTCAAAATCTAGGAATAGAGGTAAGACGTGAAACTAATTTGAACAGAAAGTGGGTACAAAAAAATGTGAGCCTTCCTTAATGGGAGTCCTGACTGTTATTTTGATATTTTCGAAATAATGACTATTTTTAATTAAGATATTAATGATTACAAATCATTAATTAATAAATTCTCACCTTATTTATTTGAAATTCTGATTATACTCATTCTTCTCTCTTAAAAATTTGGTGTTTTCAACAGTCTGATTAGAGAATGTCCTTAATCAAATCTACTGAGCTATGTTTCAGGTACCTCATTTGCCACATTTTTTTTTTCAGCATCATCAACATCAACAGTTTTGTCAAACTTAAAACAAACCCCATAGAGGCACAGCCCCACTGCTCTGTTCTCCATTATACCAGCGTCTGTTCATAGTCTCCAAACACTTTCCACTTCGGGATCTTTCCTTTTTCCCCAAACACTACACACTGCTATAATTTTGACATAGCTGCTCTTTGAGCTTGCTAATTACTACTGGGATTAGCTTTTTTACATAAATCAATTCAAGATTTTGTGTTCTAAGTATACTGCTCATCATCACTCATGGCTAAGTGGTTAACTGCAGTTGTTTGAATTGTTTCAACCTGGAATTTATTGCAAAGATTCAGGGAAATGTCAGCAAAAGCTAACGGGGCTGACAGGGCTTGATGTTAAGGATTGTTCATCCACATGCCTGGAAGCTAGTGCCAATCATAAGCACTGAGCACATAATTTTTCTCTCTCTAAAAATTTACATTTAACTACCAATGTAGTGGATGACATCTGGAAATGATGGAGTGAGAGGTAATTATTGTTAGATAAGGTCATAAGAGTAAGACCCTGGTCTGAATCTGTTGTTCTCCTTACATCAGCCTGTTCTCAGCCCATGCTGCCATAGGCAGAGGAGGAGCAGAGCTGGGTCTTCCACACTCACATTCTCAGGGTTGGCTCTCCTGTGCTTTCGGTAGCAGCGCCATATCTGCTGTGCTGCCCAGACCAAGTGCAGAGCCACTTTTTGTGTTGTAACTGGTTAAGGAGTCAGCACCCTCACCATCTCAATCCACTCCCTGCCTCTCTTATCTCTCCATATCTGCCTCGATCCACAGGCTCTGAACCATTCTTTCTCTGTCTCTCTCTCCCTCTCCCATAACACACCTCTGCTTACTCTAATAGTGCCCATCTGACTGATACTGCAAGGTACCAGGTTTGCTCATGTTTTTTCCTTGGAGCCTGGGATGAACAGCTCCAGGCCTACGTGTGGGTCACCATGATGCTGGCTGGGCCATGCTTCCCATCACAAGGAGATCATTATAGTGCCTAACAAGATAAACTTCACAAAGATTGTATAAGCCATAGGAGAGAGAATCTCAAGTGTTTATTATAAGGTGGAAAAAATGAATGCTTCAGTCAATAATATGAATTCTAAAAAAATAAATAAATAAACCAAGACACAAAATAGATGGGGAATCTGAAACAATGGAAGGACAATATCTGTGAATAATAAAAATAGAGAAAGGAGAGTAAACCCATGTCAAAGGTACTGAAAATATTTTCATGAAGATCATGGAAAAGATTTCACCAACCAAAAGAAGTAAATATCCATCAAAGCACAAGAAGAATACAGAATACTAAATACTCAGAGCCAGAAAATGGATTCCCCATAAGTTATAATAATCACAACACTAAATATACAGAGCAAAGAAAAAATATTAAGTGCTACAAGATAAAAAGCCCAAGCAACATATAAAGGCAGAATCGTTAGAGTAAAATTCAATTTCTCAGTCAATATTCTCAAAGCCAGAAGGGTCTGGACAGAAGGGTGTTTGATCAAAACTAAAAGATCGCAGATGTTAGTCCAAATTATTAACTGCAAAACTATCAATCACAATACACATAAATATAAATATATTCTATGATGAAATAAAATTTAAACAGTATCAGCAAATCCAGCTCTATAAAAGGTGGTAATAGAAAAACTTAAATCTGAAGAGGTTAATCACACCTCCCATCCTCATCTCCCAAAAAAGCAAGGAATAAGTATTCCCAGATCATCAAATGAAAACAGGGGCAATCCCACACCACAACAACGAAATAGAATCAACAAAATTGTTCATTGATAGCTCTCAACATCAATGGTCTCAAATCTCCAATAAAAATATACAGACTACAGAATGGATAAGAAAAAGGACTTCATGCTTCTTCTTCTGCTATATCCAAGAAACACATTTTAACATTAAGTATAGATATCACCTCAGGGTTTGAAAAAAGATATTCCAAGAAAACAGACTCCAAAGAGCAAGTTTGTGTAGTTATTGTAATATCTGACAAAAATACACTTCAAACTAAAACTAATCAGAAGATACAGAGACTATTACATACTCATTACTGTGATTTGAAAGAATATGCCCCACAAAAGGAGTGGCACTATTAGGGGGTGAGGCCTTGTTGTGGTAGGTGTGGTCTTATCGGAGGAAGTGTGTCACTGTGGAGGTTGACTTTAAGGTCTCATATATGTTTAAGCTACATCCAGTGAGACAGACTACTTTAGGCTGCTCTCAGTCCACTTCCTGTTGCCTTCTTATCAAGAGGTAGCCTGCACCACGCCTGTCTGCCTGCCACCAT